ACCAACTGTATGGCCTTAAACCCCCAAAAGGAAAGTATAACCAAAAAAAAAAAGAGGACAGGAACTTGGGTGAGTAGGAGGGTGGGGGAATGTAATTAAAATATAGTGTATGAAATAAATAATTTAAATGTTATATTAAAATAAATAAATAAATAAATAAATAAATAAATAAAGGTCTTCCCTGTCTCCAAGTAGCAGAACTCAGATGGGCATCACGTGTGACTTTACTTGATGCTGCCATCATCTCGGGCAGTTCATTTAAATTTTCTTTTCTCAAGATGCATGTTTCCTAGTGCTGTTATACAAATTGCCACCAACTAGATGGAGGAAAATAATGGAAATTTATTGTATTTTAGGAAACCCAAAGTCAAATATAACAGACCTGGGTCCCTCTGGGTGCTCCTAGGGAGAAGCAGCATCTTTTGTAGCCTGAAGGTGGTTGCCTTGCATTTCTTGGCTTATAGACATCTCTCTCCTCTCTCCCTTCACTGTGGTGTTGCTCTTTTCTGTGCATCTTGTAAGATCACTCACTGGATTTAGGGTCCACCTTCTCCAGCATGAGCACAAATCAGCCATCACCTTAAGGACATCTGCTAACATTCTACTTCTAAATATCACTTTCTGGAGACAGACAAAAGATATTTGAAAGAAAACTTAATTCACTACAAAAACAAGTATTTCATTTTACTTGACAGGAATTTTGAAGGACTTTAAAGGAAATAGCTCATGAGAATGTTTTTGACAGTGCGTTGCTCAGATTTTCACCCTTGTGCTGGTTTCTTTCTTCTAGGTGGTTATGGCTGTAGCTCAGCTGTACTGGCACATATCACCCAGGTCAGAAGCCGGTATTATTTCTAAGTCGCTAGTGCGCTTACTTCGTAGCAATAGGTAGGTCGCACTTTTATGTGTTTTTTCTTTGGTATGCTCTCAGAAGTAGTGTTGCATAAATACAGTCTGTCTTTCAAAAGTGTAATGTCCAGTTGTCCATTTTATAGACTAAATCTCATACCTAATGGGTTATTATAAAATGATCTCAATCTTTTTTTAATGTTTTATTTATTTATATGTGTATGAGTGTTTCCTGCTTATGGATATGTGCACCTATGTCCTGGAATACTCTCAGCGGTCAGAAGAGGGTGTCAGATCTCCTGGAACTGGAGCTACAGATGGTTGTTAGCCACCATGTGGATCCTGGGAATCGAACCTAGGTCCTCTGTAAGAGCATCCACTGCTCTTAACTGCTGAGTCATATCTCCAGCTCCTAAAATAATCTCAATCTTAATGAAAAGAAAATTGTACATTTTTTACCTTCAAGGGTGGAGAAATTGAAGATAGGTTGCAACACAGATCATATCCTGTCACCAGTAACTATTAGTATTCCACTTTTCTGGGTATGACAGTCATGCTCTTTTGATAATTCTGGAATCACTGAAAAACTTAACTGAAGTGATATCAGTGTAGTTTGCTCAGCCTGTTAGGTCTGATATTTGTAGAAGAATATAGAAGCTATGATTTGTAGTTTATGGCAGGATTCTTACTTCATAGAAAGTTGGGGTATTTAATTGTAATTTCCTCTATTTTAAAGAGATGTATACTTTGTGGGGGGGGGCAGGCATGGCAGCCAAAGGAGGATGTCAAGTATTATGGAGACAGGGTCCCTTGCTGACCCTGGAGCTAGGCTGGTTACCAGCAAGTTCCAGAGATTACTTTGTCTTAACTCTCCACAGTACTGGAGTTACAGGCTCATGGGTGGTCACACCCAGCTTTTTACATGGGTATTGGTGATTTGAACTAAGGTCTTCATGTTTAACCTGCTGAGCCATCTCTCTAGTCCCTAAGAGCTGTTTTTTTTGTTGTTGTTGTTGTTGCTGTTGCTGTTGTTTTGTGTTTTTTGAGACAGGGTCTCTCTGTAGCTCCAGCTTTCCTAGAACTCACAATGTAGACTAGGCTAGCCTTGAGCTCACAGAGATCTGCCTGCCTCTGCCTCCCAAGTGCTGGAATTAAAGGCATGCACCACCATGCCCAGCTAAAAGCTGTTTATAATAGCTTCTCACGTTAAAGAACTGTGTGCTTTTTAGTTTTCTGTATAGATAGATAGATAGAATGTGCCACCTTTTAAAAGTTTCCCTCCTTATGATTCAGGTCAGCAATTAAAAAAACTTGAGTTTCCATTTCAAGTATATAGTTTATATAGTACTATAATACATTACATTTTCAATTAAGTATATTAGGTCTTTAGAACATATTAATCTTGTAACCAAAAACTAAACCTTTTCATCACATTAATTATAAAAAATACGTATATGCATGTATATAACATACTGTGATCATAGTCTCTTCCAATATATTATTTCCTTTTAAAAAAAAAAAAAAGCTTTGAGTTTCCATGTTTCCATGATGTGTTCTTTCAAGGTTAGGATCAGATTTTTATTGTGTTTCCTGTTTTAAAAATTACTGTCGTGGGGCTGGAGAGATGGCTCGGCAGTTAAGAACAGTGGTTGTTCTTGCAGAAGACCCGGGTTTGAATCCCAGCACCCACATGACAGCTAACAACTTTCCATAACTCCAGTTCCAGGGGATTAGATGGCCTCTTCTGTCCTCCATGGGCATTGCATACTTACCTACATTCAGGCAATAGGTAAAATAAAAATAATAAATAAAATATTAAATACATAAAATAAAAATAATAAATAAAATATTTTTAAAAATACTGCTGTTCAACTGTTTAGCATATTCTAACTATTTTACAACAATTACCTGTTTTATTTAAATTTTTTCCTTTCATTGAGTGTATACTTCCACTTACTAGGCTGGGTGGAAAAGGTATATATTTTTTTTTGTTCTTAGCTAGAGCCTGGCCTACAACTTTAGTCTTGACCATCTTTTGCTGTTTCTTAGCAACATTTCATTTAGTGCTACTTTTCTTTTCTCTTTATTTCTAGTAATTCTTTGTTACTAGTTCAGTATCTTTCTTTTCAATGGCGAGTTCAGAGGATATTAGGAAGATGTAAAATGGGTCTTTAACATAGAGCTCACATTAGATCAATGTGGATTTCATGTTAGAGTCAGTTCTTTCATTAGGATAGATATTAGGATTTTTGACTAATTTGATTATTTTTTTAACCTGGCCTCCATTCTGGCTATGATTGAATGACATTGTGATCCTGTTAATAAGAATTCAGGTTAGCACTATGGTCACATCCACTCTTGTAGCCCTAAGAATACTTTCTTTGCATGTGTTCAGAGCACTAATATTGACCTTATATTTTAGAGGTACAGTATTATAAAATTAGTTTTAACTCTTCCTGATGATACATTACATCTAATTTTTTTAGTATTTTGTAGCAAAAATCCATTGAAAAGAAGATAGAAATACCTAGTACTAAAATCTTTAAATATTATATTTAAGAATTTTGTTCACTATGAATCTTATAGATATTTTCTCAATGATGCTTCAGTGGCTAATGTACTGAAAATTCTTTTTAACTTTAGGGAGGTGCAGTATATTGTCTTACAAAATATTGCAACTATGTCAATTCAAAGAAAGGTATGTATATTGAAAACAGAATTTAAGAGGCACATGAGCATATTCATGGGATAAATGTATTTGTTTGTTTGTTTATTTATTTATTTATTTATTTATTTTTATTTTGTTGTTGCTGACCTAGGGTATGTTTGAACCTTATCTGAAGAGTTTCTATGTTAGGTCAACTGATCCAACTATGATCAAGACACTGAAGGTCTGTATGCTTTCCTTTTCAGGTATTCTAGCATCTGTTCATTACTATAGCTTCCAACATCTGTAAACGATCATCTTTTGTGTGTCTGTGTGTCTGAGTGCATGTTCATGTTTTCAGTTACATGTGTGTTCAGGTGTGCATGCATGTGGAGGCCAGAGGACAATCTCAAGTGCCATTCCTCAGGTGCTACCCACTTTTTTGATAAAAGTTCTCTCAGTGGCCTGGAACTCACTTAGGATGCTAGACTAGCTGTGCCCTAAATGCCACAGATCCTCCATCTGCCTCCCCAGTGCTGAAATTACAAGTGCACATGCCCAGCACATTTTATGTGGGTTTGGAGCACCAAACTCAACCTTGCCCTTGCTGCTAGTTGAGCTATCTCCCTAGCCCTGTAAAATGGAGTTTTGCTTTAAATGGATGTATTTCAACATTGATCTTTATACTTTCCAGCCCTGTATTCTGATACCTATTGTGCTGCATTCAAATGAGTTAGTGCCTGTACCTTGGTAATTTGTACTTTAAATGACAATAGATGTTTGAACTGAGTCCCATAATAAATAGAAACGCAGGGCTAATTCTGTGGGAGATTTGGGGAAGATAATATTTAAGTGGGTCTTAACCTTTTTGTGACTACATTTTTTGGGGGGGTTGCAGAGTTGTTTGGGAATTTCAAAGGGCTGGGAATAGACAAAAACAGCTTTGCTAACAAGAGATCATGAAGAGTGTTTTCGGAGACTGATAATAGAGTGCAGTTAAGGTTATAAAGCTTAATGATGAGCAGTATGACATTTAGACAGAACAGTAGGTAAAAGAGAATAGACAGCCTAGAAATATACCCATGCATAAGAAAGTTTTCTGCATACTGTAGTCTATGTAAGACACATTACAAACCAATGGGAAAGGATAGATTATATTCTTTTAAATATTGGAACAATGTGTTACTCACTTAGAAACTGAGTTTATTCATTAGGAAATCCCTGACACAAATGGGAGGGTATTTTTTCTTTTTACAAAAAAAAATCCTTTGTAATTATGAAATATTTCAATGTCATGAATGTGAACAGAAGAAATGAAATGTATTTTTATAAGGAAAAAGCTGACTAAATAGTATATGTGATATTTAGTTGTGTCTCTATTACGATATATTGAGGTACTAGTGAAACATAAATGCATAGTAGCAATTGTGTGGAAGTAATGCCTTAGTATTAATTTCCTAACGTTTTTGGTTTTGTCATCATCTACAGGACCTGTCTTTATTTATAGGAAACACACAGAACTATTTAGGATTGATTTGGCATCAATTTGACAGCACTAGTTCCATACATTTTAGTGAAAAACAGTTCTATGTAGTATACATGTAGCTTTTTTATAATTAGGTTTGAGACTGTTTTTTAAAAGTTCTCTGAACACAGACTGGTGATATTTTTTAGTGATAGGGTGCTTGCCTAGCATGTTCAAAGACCTGGGTTCAGACCCCAATACCACTACAAAATCAAATAGAGTTTCTAATGTTTTTTTAAGAAGTGTGTTTTTCCCCATGTGGTAGCACAGACCTATAATCCCAGCACTTGGGAGGCAGAGGTAATAAAATCAATTCAAAGCCATCCTTAACTGCCCAGTAAGTTTGAAGCATCTTGTCTCCTCCCCACACCTTAAAAAATTGCTATCTCAATAGTCTCATCAAATAAAATTCAAGGTCAAAATCATAAGTTCAATAAGTTATATCACATAGTAACTTCTTAAGATTCATATATGATATATGTTTATAATATTAATGTGTATCTTAAATTACTCACTGTTATTTTTAAATTTGTATGATACTTCCCCAAGAGAGAGAAATTTAAATTTTTTTGGTAAAGAAACTGATAAGAAATTTGCAGCCATAATATCAAATCCTTATAAAACTTTTCTGAAGACTGGGTGTGGTGGTGCATGATTTTAATCCCAGCATATGGGAAACAGAGGCAGGCAGATCTCTGTGAGTTCGAGGTCAACCTGGTCTCCATAATGAATCCAGGCCAGCTGGGGCTAAAGGGAGACCCTGTCTCAAAAAGACCAAAAAAAAAATTTTTTTTCTGAAAAAAAAAAAAAAAATTGTGTTACTGCATTTTGCAAATCCTAACTTGTTTAATCAAATTTCAAAGTCAGAAGAAATAGCCATATTCTCTCATTAGTACTTTTACCTTTGTTGTCAAGTAATGCAGTGTAATGAATTAGTTTTTCTGTACTGATGAATATTTTCAGAGAACTTGTGTAGCTTGATCTGAAACTTGGAAAAGACTTGTTTAGAGTTAGATAAATGATAACTCCTATCCAGGGATTTAGTTGTCATTTGGTTTTTAGTGATGGTGGAGTTTATAAAATGGTTTTAAACTGTGAAAAAAGTAAAATAAAATGCAAAGTCAAGCTATATTTCCATAGAAAAGATTCCCAGTATAGGTGGCTAAATAAGTGACTTATATGCAGAATATATAAAGAACTTTTTCTGTAGCCTGTGTCTTTTAATTAGAATGTTTAGATCACTCACTTTTAATGTAATGCTTGATATAAATGTGCTTATGTCTACGTCTTGAGCATTGTTTTCTGTTTATCTCATCTGTTTGTACCTACCTTGAGAGTAATTAAATATTTTGTGAGTAAAACCTATTTTTAGAGAGCTTATTAAAGATAGACTTTTAAGTGCACATTTCTTACATCTATAAACCTAGGAATGGGAATTAAAATGTCTTAAGTATTTGGGTAGGTACAATATAAGAAAACAAGTCAAGAGAATTAATTGATATCTGGAAAACAAAAGTATTACATAGATGGTACATTTTTTTTCTAATTTTATTAGCAAAAAATGAAAGTCAATATAAAGTTATTTGGGTTAATTAGATAGAAATTGTAAAACTAAAAAAATTAGTGAAGATGTGGGATTCTTTCCCTAATTATTTTTTAAGAACTGTGTAATTATTTCACCTCTGTGGATATAAGGAACCAGTCTAAGATCACCTCAGGATACAAAGTCTCACCACATTTGTGACAAATGATTAAAAAAAATAAAAATTAGCTTTCTACTAAATGTTTAGCCTCTATTACATCCATCTTTTTTGTGTTTTAAAATATTTATTTTCTTTTTTTTCTACTGTAGCTTGAAATTTTGACAAACTTGGCAAATGAAGCCAACATATCAACACTTCTTCGAGAATTTCAGGTTTGTATACATACAATTCTAGTTATAATTTCTAAAATATGTTCAATCTTAAATATGCATGTTTCTCAATCTAAATATATAATTGCATAAATAAAACGGTGATTTAGGAAAAGATTGTCAAGAAAAAATTTTCAGTTTTCAAGAATAAACATTAACTTCAAATATATGATTTTAAAAAGTAGCATTGTTTTTCCTTTTGTGTTTCCATAGAACTTTAAGGACCTTGGCATATGTTTTGGTTCAGAACTTTCATTCTGCCAGGGATTCTCTTTATGCTGTCATCACCAATAGGCCTGTCTCTACATGTGGAAATGCATCATTTATTACCTGGCTGCCCCTGTTTAATTGATGCAACTCCTTTTAAATATTGCCCCCTTATCTGATGCTATATTTTTAGAGAGCTTAAAAAAACAACCTGGGGGGTACAGAGCAACTTCTGGGGTTGTCTTCTGGCAAAGCCTGCCAAGCCTGATGACCTGAGTTTGATTTCTAGGATTCACATGGTAGGAGGAGAGAAGCAATTTTGATTAGTTTTGTCACATTTTAAAAGCATACACGCACATGGGTGAGATGCTTTTTAGTTGTTTTTCTCCAAATATAGTGCACACAGATCATTTCATTAACATTATATACTTTATGATGGATCAACTTTGAAGTCTTCATGGTGGAGTGCAGCATTAGAAAACATTTACAGTGTTTAAGAGTTTCACAACCCATCATCAGTTCTCAAAAAAAAAAAAAGTAAATAAATAAAGTTACCACCCACTACACAGCAATCCTGAAGTTCTATATCAGGCACTAGAGTTTATAAATTTAATGGATTTTGTTGCCACAATTCTTGATTTTTAGTTATATATGGAATTGTTTTTATTTATTTAT